TCACTACTAGAATTTCTCTTATTACATGCGACTTTTCCTACGAATTTTTCATAAAAATTTGCAGGAAACGTTGTTCCTACAAATTTTTCTGCGAAATTTTATTTGCAGGTAATACCTTCGTGGATAATATATTTTTGCGAATTTTAAAATTCGCAGGAAAATTTCCTGCGAAATTTCTTGCGAAAAAAATTCGCAGGAAAGTTTCTTGCAAAAAAAAATTTGCAGGAAATTTTCCTGCAAAAAAAATTCGCAGGAAACTTTCCTGCGAATTTTTTTGCAAGAAATTCTGCAGGAATATTTTTTACGAAAAAATTAAAAAAAATACTATAAATTATATATTTTAAGAATTCATAATCTTTTATTTTCATGCCTCATACATAATCTTTTAAATTCTAAGATTGTAAGATTATAAGTCTAACACTCAACCATACAATTCAACTTGTAAGGTAAGTGTTGCCCCAACTTATATACTCTTTAATTGTTTTATTTTCAATCGATGTGGGACTTAGAGATTTTTTATTTTTCCGCAAGAAAAATTACCTGCAAAATTTTTCTACCATTTAGTAAACATTACTTGCGAATTTATTTTTGCAAGAAAATCTGCAAGAAACAAAATAAAATTCTTACAATATTTTCTGCAAATTTTTACCATGAAATTTTTTTCCCATGATTATTAAAATTGTAGCAAAATTTGTAAGAAATATCTGTAAATTATTTTTTGCAGGAAAATTGGCAAAAAATTTCTGTGAATATTTTTTTGTAGGAAAATTCGTAAAAAATTTATGCGAATATTTTTTTGCAGGAAATTTTGCAAAAACTTTCTACGAATATTTTTTTGCAGGAAAATTTGCAAAAAAATGACACTTTTCTAGTAGTGTTTGCTTAAGCGTGGATCAACCCCTACCGCTGAACCACACGCTTGGGGTTGTTATAATTTCTTATTTAATAATAATTAAAATTTTAAAAGAATAAATTTTATCTATTTATTATTATTATTATTATTCTTTTACTTTTTACACAATTAAACCTCATTGATTGGGCCAAAATGATCTGATAGTTTTATTTAATTTTTTTTACTTTGTTTCTTTGTATTTGGACAAACATTCTTATAATATTGTGTTGTAATTTATTATTTATTAATTAATTTTATTATTTAAATGAATATATGTTGAGATGTTGCTTTAATATTTTAAAATTCCAAGAATTAAAGAATTCTTACAAGTTTAGTTATTTGGAATTGTTTTGTATTGAAGTCAAGTTGATCAAGTTTAAGAGAATGTATATAAGATTTTCTTAAGACTCGAATTTCATAATTAAATTCATATCTTAAATAATTATAAAGAGAAGTTTAGAAAGATAAATTATGGAGTCAAAAGATATATTCATCCTTCTGACTCCATAGGAGTGCTTTAACCCTTTCTTGAGGCTTAAATTGAGTTGTTGAGTTGAGATTCAAAGCTTGGGAGTTGAGAATCTGGAGTTTGAGTTGTCATACGACAAGAGCTCAAAAGGTCATGTTCTCCATCATTCTTCCACTTTTCTTGTAGATTGAAGTGAGGGAATCTTATAGATTACTCTTGTTGATTTTTATTTTTTTTGTGTTAATTTGGCCATTGGTAATTTTGATGGTTGGATTTTTAAGAAGTTAAGATTGGTGTTCTTGGTCTTTAATTATTCTTGGTAGAATGAAAAAGAAATTGATGATCTTTCTTCCTTTAAAGGTTGCATGTTGTTTGAATTGATGAAATCAAGTTGATTAACATGTACGTATGTTAAATTTTGGTTTTTTTTGGTGATGTACGGGTAATTGGAGTACAAAAATCGAGATTCTACAGAGTATAAAAATCAACTTCACACAAGATGCATCATCATTGCATTGAGCATGAATGATTTAGAGGTTCTTTGTGTCATAGACTCCAGGCATGAATGATTCAAAAACTCTCTATTTTGTTTACACTATGTATGGGGTGTGTGGTGTTGGGCATGAATGCATTAGGGACTCTCTGTCTCATTTATGTTGGGCGTGGGATGTGTGGTGTGGGATGACTTCAAGTCAAATATTTACTTTAATGTAATTTTCATGTGAAATGCTTATGACATTTATATAACTATCGTAAAGTTTTATCATGATATGTTTATCTAGCGAAGTGGTCAAGGTTAATACAGATGATTGTTCCTTTGGTAATCCAGGTTGAGTTAGTTTTGGTGGTATTGCTCGTGTCTCATTGAGTTTGCAACAAATTTCACAATTGAATTTGAGTTCTATGCAATTTATTATGAACTCAAAGTAACAAAAAAAGCAACTTATCTATGCATGAGACTAATTCATCCATCTCATTTGAATTCATTTCCCATGGAATTGAGGTTTATCATTCCCATACTAGCATTGTTAATGCTATATGTTCCTTTATGTAGTTTTCTTAAAACCTTTTCTTTCTACACACCTTGAGATAAGGCATCTATATGTTTTAGACTACTTAGTCAACGAGGGAGCTAACTTTTGTTCTTCTTCTTTGTTTTTAGATGTATGCCCACCAACTTTCAAACCTTCTCTTTGTATTGTTTTCTTTACGTTTCATACTAAAACAAAAATAGTTTTACAATAATCACAAATCACTATGTATGATAAGTTTGTTGACATTTACAATAATCATCTTCAAAGTCATACCAACGAAAATTTCTGATTGGTCAATAATGTAAATTTTTTTACATTAATAATGCATGACATTAAACTGTATAAATATTACTCTTATTATTTATACTTGTATGCAGAATTGATATCTTATTTCATGTTAATGACATATAAGATATAATCATCAGTCAATTTACAAAATAGTCTCAATGTAGTATTATCATCCCATTTAATTAACAATGATACTTGATTATTGATATTTTAATATAAAAAAATCTCAACAAATTCTCACAATTAGGTACTTTATACTTAAACGAACAAATTATATATTCTAAGAACAATACTTTACTTTATAATAAATAACATAATAACTAAAATCTCTTCGTAATTGATATTATATAATTATAACGATTTATTATTATTAATTATGTTATTGAATTAATATTGATTAATTTTAAAATATAAGAAAACCAAATTTATAATTATAATACTATCACCTTTTTATTTTTATTTTTTCAAATGTTTGTATAGTAAATAAAGAAGGAAAAAAATGTTTAGCGTTTCTTATGCAAACTTTCAAAAACAAAAAGATTGAAAGCAAAGTTGCAGCTTTATGATTGAAAAGTAAAAATGAAAAATAAAAAGAAGTAAATATATAGGCCCTAAATTTTTTATTGTTTCGAATTGATTTTATTTTCTGTCCAAAATAAGCTTAATTTTGAATTAGTTATAAAAAAAAACTACATTTCATCTTCTTACTATTCACATTTATCAGGAAAAAAAAAATCTACTCCTTTTACATTTTTTTAATCATATTATGCATCACATTTATTATTTTCTTTCTTTATCGATCTCTCCCTTCTTTCCATCCGAAAATAAGGGTGGAAGTAGATAATTTTTCTTAGTTTTATTTGGATGGGTATGCTAAAGATGGCGTTGGTGCTATATATCACATTTTCCTCTCTATCAAAATGTCAACGAAACTATTGTAGGATGAAAGTGCTATTTATTCACCGCTATTCATGTCATCTTGTTATTTGTCATGTAATATAAGATACGTGAAAATCAACGTGGTGGGCATTTGGTCTAGTGGTATGATTCTCGCTTTGGGTGCGAGAGGTCCCGAGTTCGATTCTCGGAATGCCCCAGTTTTTTAAAGAGTAAATTCTTTATTGTCCTCAAATGAAATTAAAATAATTGTTACAATTAATTATTTTCACTCTCATTCATACACAAAATAAACGAAACAACTTCATGGAAAAAAATATACAATTAAATTTGCAGTTTATTTGAAAGAGAGTATTCATATTCGTATATGCCACCAGATGAAACTGAAACTCATACTCTTTCGGTTCTCTGCGGAATAACTTGTAAAACCCCAGCATGGTTAACTCCCGTGCTATACTTCTAAAACCCCAACATGGATAACTCCCGTGCATAACAGCTGTGTTGCGCTTACAATTATCGTGATCGTTTCTAAGGTGCGCTGAAAAAAAATAATGAATATGTCCTTTATGATCATTCATATATTGTCCATTGAAACTTTTTATTATTATAATATATTATTCTGTTAATAATATAAATTCTTAAGTCTATACCAATAATATTATACTAATAATCCTTTGGTAAATAGACTATATTTGTAGTGGTTGAAATTCTAGCACTCAAGCAAAGCTTACCAGGTTTGAGTCTGTCCAGCCAAGTTCAATCTCTTTGCAAGCAAATCTGCAACAACAGGAAGCATAGTAGCCATGAAGCATTTATTCTCTCTTGTTATTACAATAGCGAGAATGGTAGAAAATTGATGCATTAGAAATATGAAAGCAAAACGGGGGAGATATATATAGATATCACTATAAGGCTCACCCCATGGCTAGTAGAGTGAGTGCCCATGTAGTCAATGAAGACATGGCTGCTGCATGCAAGTTGGGAGCATTCCACTGGAAAATGTTATGCAATCCAGTGAGTGAGGTGATGAACCCCACAACACCAGCAATGAGAGACAAAACCACGAAGAAACCAGTTGTCATGTTTCCCATTGGGAAGTATATTGGAAATATGTGAGCTGGAAGGGACAAAACAGATGCTGCAAAATGATTCAATTAAGTTGAAATTAACGAACACAATTTTTATTACTTTCTCTTCTCATAAAGCACTCTAATATAATTAATTAATTACCTGTTTCTCTAGACCTTTGAATCCCATGATTCACTGCCCAAGAAGCAATCACAACCACAATGAAGTACAGCACTAGATTAAGGGCCAGGAGGATGGAGGCTACTGATTTGGATCCTCCAGAAGCCATGGACCCTGAACCTCAAATTAACACCAGAAAAATTAAAGTGAAACAAACCTTAACTTGCTTATCCTTGTCGAGCTTTGGACATTTATATAAATAAGCCATGACTAATTCTCAAGGTTGTCCTGCAATATGGTTCTTCTTTGCTGTAACGGTTCAAAAGAACTTTCTTCTATGCAAAGAAATGACTTGTATTCTTTGATCATTATTTGGGTTGCCTCGTGAAGGAGAAAGGAATTATTTCATATATTATATATAGAATTGCAGCATAGAAGGGGGAAAACTTTGTCTCTTAAATCTCTTTATATCATTATAAATTAAAATCATCAGAGTGCTCTTTTTTGTTTTTCTGGATTCCATTCCAGCATATAGACCGAAACAAAAAGTAATGATAATCCAATTTCATCATTTTAAGTGGAGCTTAGGCAAAATATTAAGGTGCCTCTGAGGTACATAAAATATATTGTCAGTTATTTTGAGAAAAGAAAAAAATCCTCAGGAACAGGGAATACTACTATACTAGACATTCGAACTTTTTTCCTCGTCAATGAGATGTACACGCACACAAATAAAGGAGTATAGAGAATGCGATGACAGAACAAATGGATAAATGGGTAAAACCGTAAAAAACATCCACGATGTCATTATGCAAACAAACAAATCTTCAATTAAAGAATAAAAATTAGGAATTATCACTTTCATCCTAAATTTTATATTTTTAATAATTTATCTTTGTAGTATTTTTTGTGGATGTTTTATTTTTTTCATTTTCTTTTTAAATTATTTAATCAATCTATTTTCTTTTTATAAGATTTTGTATATTTTTTAATAGCATCCAATATTTAATTAAATAGTTTAAGTTTTAAAAAAATTTAATACGATTTTGTCTTTTTGTTTTGTGTACCGGAGAGACCGTATCGGTCACGTGGGCCAACACGTGCCATTTCGTCAGACACCCATGCATAGCCACGTACAAGCATCACCATCAACGTCGGCTCGGCATGAGGCCGAGAACCGACATCAGTCTGGTTAATGCAAATATGGACCATCATCATTCATCGAGTCGGCTCGGTCAGGTACCGTTCCGACATAGAACATACCGGAAGTATACAGGCTGCCGTATACGGACTAGACGGTTCGGTCATTTGCCGTTCCGACTAGTATTGATTAGCCGGCTCGGCCTCTTGCCGAAGGGTTAAGCAAGTCATAACAGTAATCACAATCAAGAAAGGTAAGTACATGATTAAAGTCTAACGACCAATTAGTACCGTATTACCTAATTTGGTAAATATCTGAGAGGGCCCATCACGCTCAGGCCCATGTCAGATGCTATAAATAGGTCACACGTAACAAGGTATGTCACTGTTCATTTTTACCCTAGATATTCGTGCATATACTGACTTGAGCGTCGGAGTACCCTTTGCAGGTACCTCCCCCATCCCCTGGAGACATCGTCAGAGCTCTTATTCGGTCCCCTTTCACCCAGAAGAAAAGGAGTGTGCCCTTAGACAGGTACATTTTAATTTTTCAATTTCTATAGTATAAATTATTTTTTCAATTCTATTATTTATTAATTCTCTTTCTTCCTTTAATGTTTTTATAGTATAATTACATCATTCTATTTTTAATCTGTGTAATTCTGTTCCACTTTCTATTTATACAAGCAAAATCTGGATTTTCATTTTGTAAAAATTGACCTTTTTATAATTTATTCTGATATCAATTTTTTAATCTAAAATTTCTTCTTAATCATTATCTATTTTATCTAATTTATATTTAGATCATTTTTCTAATTCTTATTTTTCTTTAATTTCTGGTTGTTAAAACTCTTCTGTAAGATATTTTTTATTCTAATATTTGTATTATTCTTTCTTTCATTCCTACAGGGAATGGAAATATATTTAGAGAGATCTACATACTTCACTTACTCCACTTAATAATTCATATTTCATATCAAATTTAAATGATTTAATTATTAAATTAAAAATTCTTAATATATAATTTCAAATTAACATATAAAATATTTTTATAATTTGATCCTCTATCTCTATCTCTCTCTATATATATATATATACATATATATTTATCATTAAAAAAATGTTAGTGATGATTTAAGCAAGATTATTTACTTGAATTGTAGGTAACTTATTTATTTCTATACCATCTAAGATATAACTTGAGATAAACCTATTGAGAAAGACCTACTAAGATGTTTGGACCCAATTATGAATGACATATCAGAGTCGAAATATAATTAATTTACATAATTTAACATATAAATTTAATATATTGTTTGCCAGTCACTTATAATTAAGTCGATATTATTTCGATCTCAAAAATTTAGAATCAAAACTTATCTTTAATAACTAAGATAAAAAGGTCAAGATATATATAATACTTAAACTATCTTATTAAATTTTGAAATTCTCAAGACTCATGAACCCACAAATAATCAAACATAAAAATCTCAATCATATAACAAAATCAGAAGGATTACACTTTTGAATATATTAACTTTGACTGAACGCTTATACAAATTTTTAGACATTTTATAGACAAACAATTTTCAAATTTTTTATCTTTATCAATATTTTTCAATTCTGAAAATTTTATTAGGATAGGTATTTTGGTAGTTTTTATTATTTTTGTATATTTTGTTTCTAATGGTCTTGGCTTATTTATATTTCTTTAGCTAATATTTTTTTTTGTTATTAGTTTCTTCTATCTTTTTTCTCTTATTGCAAGTAAAATCAGCAATTTCATTTACAATTTCTAGTATTGATATTATGTTTTAATAATTTTTTTATCATTAGTCTATTTTTATTTTCACATTTCTGTAATTACCATTAGTTATTACCTATTTAAGTTTTCCTTCTGTTTTTTTGGTTGGTTAGGTATCAAAACTCTTCCATTTTTAGAGGTACTGTAACATATCACATTATACAATGGACGCCGAAGGATTTTCCAAATCCCAATGTTAGTTCATCTTTTCATTTTGGTTATCATACCTTTGGGTCCTGGACTCCTGGCGTCCTGCTCATGGATCTGGGCTTTGGGCATACCTTGTGTTATGGGCCTGTGGCTCAGCTTTCTTTCTTTCGCCTTTTTTTCGTTAACTAATATTTAATAATATATCTCTTTTATTCTTTTCTTATTATTTGTTCTCAAACACTCTTATCTTATGTTATATTTGGATAAATAATTTATTTTTTTATAAATTTAAAATATTTTAGAGTAAAAATTTTTATTTAAATAAAAAAAATCCTAATAATTTATGATGTATTTTGATCAAATGTGGAATTTCAAACACCTAAAAAAATTATAATTTAAAATTTTACATACTTATTGTCTCTCTTTTATTTCATCTATATATCACTTATCTTATCTCTCCTTTTTCCCACTCTTGTTTCTCCCCTCTCTCTTCTTTCTCACCTCTATCTCTTTCGTTGTCCCGCTGGCATTATTACATTAACGATATATGGCACCAAGATTTTATTGCATGTCATGTGCGAACACAATTAAGAAATAACGCATCATACTTGAAGGGATTCCCAGCATGTGATAAAGTAAATTTTATTTTGTTGCTATCATATAATTATATGCACGATGCTTGTCAGTCATTATTATCGCTTTTGTTTTCTTCCGCACTTATTTGCGAAACATGTATAGCTTGAGAAATGGTTATTGGTGATGACGAAGACTTATTGAGCATTAGGATACGTGCAAGGAACAGACACCCTTTCTCTAGTTGGATCCTATAATATTTTGTCTCTGGATCTGACTATAGGAGAAGTGAAGGGTGTGTTTGCTACTAGGTAATCACTAATGAATGAAGTACAGTTTCAGTGACCTCGTTGCCGTTGCCTCCATTCAGATACTGCTTCTGTTTTTTTTTTCTTTGGCAACTACTACTAGTGCTTCTTGTGTTGTGTTTTGTGCTTGCTTCACATTATAGGTTGTTTGGGTGTTACCAATCATTTTCCTTTTGTATATTTATAGGATAGGATGAGAAATGCAGCTACGCTACAAGCACAACCTGTACTATCGTGTCAGACTCTCTGGTCAACCATCCTTTAAAGATGAAACGTGTTATTTTTAACACACGCATATATCATTTTTCATTAATTTATTTTAGTTTAGCTACTCAGGAAAGGATAAGTTAAATTATAAATTTAAATTTTCATAATTATTTAATACGTAAGTACGACAATTTTATACTAGTACACGTTGGATGTTATTTAAGAAAAAATAAATTAAACTTTAGAATTTTGTAGTGCTTTAATTTTAATGAAGTTAATATTAGCATGCTAAAAACATGTTTACAAGTCACGGTGCAATGCATGTATGTATCTGTAAAAAATTCCACTTCATAAGCCGAGAAATTTCAATTAAAAATTATTATATGAAATAAAAGTTATATATGTTATATTACTTAATTAAATTTTTCTCTTAATATATATTCTTTTTATATTATTATTATACTCTAAACTTAGTAAATTCACCTATGCACTTGCACCGAATGTATTATATATTTTTTATACATGTGTTGAAATGACCTTTAAATATAAGAATAATTTATTATATACTAAATTTAACTTCTATATTTCCTTGTTACTGATGAAATATATTTATCTTTTGTGTTTGATAAAAGCAAGCAATTTTACAACCTTGTTTATGTCTTTTTATCATTTAAAATTTCAATTCATCTCAAATCACCTTTAGACAATTAAAAAATGACCGAGTAAGTTTGAGATAGTTGTATACTAAAATGCCATACAATATTGTACCTGTTCATTTGACAAACTATATCTAAATTTAAAATATAATACTATATAACAAAATTTCATTACCTTTTTCAATTATTCCTAATTTATACTAAAATTATATTCTACAAAATTACATATAAACATTATCGTTTCCCAATTATTTAATTATTAATTAAATTGTGTTAATTATACAAGTTAAAATGTACTTAATTTTTATGGGTTCAATAATTACACAAGTCAAAAACGTATTTATTTTTTATGGATTCAATAATTATACAAGTTAAAAACGTACTTTTTACGGATTCAAAAACGTTCTAAT